GAATGATTTCTGAAAGATCATATGACACTGAAGACTGGAATAATGGCTTCTGAAAAATCAGATTTACTGTCAATAAATTGCATTTTAAAATGTATTAAAATAGAAAAGGCTATTTTATTATATTTGTTTTATATATACTTTTTTTTTTTTTTTTTTAAATAAACCTATAAATGCCAAGGTCCGGATCTCATGCTGGGAACGGCAGTGTGTTCAACTTCAGGCGGAGCTGCGCAGACCGATCGGCGACAGTTGCAGCTTGCAATCGGGGGTGGAGTTGAAAACGTAGACGTGAAGTTTTAAGTGAATAAAATGCAATATTTGTCGAATACAGACGTTTCAGAGACATTTGCAGGAAGCAACGAACACTTTATGAAGGCTACGGCAGGCAACTGATAGGAAACGTCCTATAGATGAATTGCAGATGAGCAAACACTCTGAAAATACATCTGCAGATGTAAATGCATACGTCAAATAGACATTTCCGTGATGAAGGGTAATATTTCTTGTACCATTGAAGAAACCGTATTAATCCTCCTTTCTCTGCTGACATCTAGTGGATAGACTGCAAATATACTGATGAGACTGACTAAAGTTGAAAAAGTGAAAAAGCATAATAGAGGACCCCTTTAAACCAAATGTTCATTAAGACCAGATGTGAAACCAGTGGCTGTTGTAAAAAAAAAAATACACCAGATGGCATTAATAAATGTACTTTTAAATATAATGAACCTTTTTTTGTCATATTTATTTGCAGCTGTTATATTACACTGTATTCTACTGTATATATTGCTCTCTGCTCTCATTAGAGTTACAAATGACCTGCTCTTATCATCTGATCGTGGTTGTATCTCTCTATTAGTGCTATTGGATCTTAGTGCTGCGTTCGACACTATGAAAAGTGCACCTTTTGATGCACAAATAACTACATTACATTCCATACAAGTAATGACATAGAATTTCCACAGACACTATTTAAACTGAACTGAGCTGGATGATGACATCACTGAATTCAATGATGATGATATATTAATGTAAAATTACAATTTTTATTATATTAAATTCAGTTTTTAAAAAAATAATTTTTAGAATACATATTTTAGTTTACTTGCACCTGCCATCTAATGACTGTTCTCACTAAACGTGACCCTTCTTCACGTCCAGCAGATGGCAGTATGAAGCCTCCTTCTGCTCGCGATCGCCATGTGTCTCCCGCAGCGGAGGAAGAGAGTCTCAGCGAGAGAAGAGCTCTGCGAGAAAGTCAAGAGACTCCGCGCTCACCATCCGCGGAAAGGAAGGAGAAACGCTGCCGAGGGATCTGTCCCGCCACCGATTCCCCGGTCCGTAGATCGTCGTGTCGATCCGTAAGACAGGGCCGAGGCGCGGAGATCAGGGAAGCCTCCTCCAAGGACTCGCTGTCGTCGGAGAATCGCGCATTATGGGAAACGCAGCGACTGCCAAGAAAGGCAATGAACTGGAGAGCGGTAAGAGCAGGAGCGTTTCATACTTTCATTCACCTGATATTACGAGATGCATTCCTTTATAAAGTCCTTGCTCTTCTTATAATGTCGGTAGCGTTGTTTATTTAACTATGTAGCCAAGGCTAATGTTAGTTAGCTGGTCAGTGAGTGCAAATGTTAAAGGTTTGCGTGTTTATATGATGAAATCGTGTTTATTCTGCATTCTCCATAGCCAGCAAAAATGCTTTCGTGATTTTGTTTTCGCTCTGCTGTAGTTCTTTTCATCTGGAAGCCACAGAATGAGTCAAACTAGTTTGATCGAAGGCCTACGGCTGTACTAGCATTCATTATGTAACGTTAAAATGCTAATATAAACTGAAACTTAAAAACACAGGGAGGGCCGTGCAAACGGCTTTGTTTTCTTGACTTCTGCTTCAAGTATGCGATCGAGCGGAAAGGTTAGAGGCTAATAATAAGCTGTTTGCTAGGTTAGAGGCCCAGACCTGCTGCTAGCCTGTATCAGGAGAAACACTCGTTTCTTATCGTTTACATACGTTTTCTACATCTCCACTTGCCTTTAGATAATGCACATAAAAATGAGCAGTTGATCTAGTTGTCTTGAACTGGAGAATCAAGGCTGGAGAATGAATAAATACAATTATCATTGGCTGTCAGGTCGGGCCTGTTAACAGCAGTCTCTACTGCCTCTAGTAAACAACATCAAGTCATTAAGTTAATTAAACGCCTGTTGTAGCTGGTGAGCATAGGGTGAACTCTTAAAAAACGAACTAAAACGAGTGGATTCTTGCTTTTTTCCCCCCTCTTTAATAAAATGGCAATGTGTTAGGCTAAATGTTGTTTTGCTAACATTTTAGATTAGCGCAAAAACGATTAACTCAGAGTTTTCCCTCAATAAACTCTTAATTTGCTGGTTATTAAAAGTTTGATTGATTCTTGTCAGTTTAGGTATTGGGTGGGTTAAGGGATCTAGAATATGGTCATGCAAAATAAGGCAATAGTGTGTGCCTTATAAGTACTAATAAACAGCCAATGCTAGTATGCATCCTAATAAGCAAGTAGTTAATAATGAATAGTGTTCCATATAATATAATATGCATAATTGTCTAAAACTAATTCGACACTGTAGAAAGGTGATATATTGCATGTAATGGGCATCTGTCAATCAACGGTCACAGTTTGAATCATCTCAAACAGGTTGATGCTCATGAGTAACATCCAAGGAAAATTCTGTGTTTAATTATGTAATTATTCACTCACCTTTATGCTTTTCCATAAAAAAAGCATGTTTTATTTTTTGCAGGGCGTCTGCGTCTGTGCAGGCGTGCTGCATGGTTTGATGGGTGTAATAAAAGATATCATGATATACATAAAGCATCACTAACCTGGATATTAACTATACAGTTAAGTTGGTTGCATGAAATTATGTAATTATTCACTCACCTTTATGCTTTTCCATAAAAAAAGCATGTTTTATTTTTTGCAGGGCGTCTGCGTCTGTGCAGGCGTGCTGCATGGTTTGATGGGTGTAATAAAAGATATCATGATATACATAAAGCATCACTAACCTGGATATTAACTATACAGTTAAGTTGGTTGCATGAATAAAAAAAAAAAAGCTTTATAGAACATTGAAATCATAGTATTTGTTACTATAGAATTGTAAAATATTTTAACTGTTATTATATATGATGTTACATGGCTTGATTTGAAAGTACTTAACATTTGTATAGCCACTTCACTATAGGGGTGTGCGATATTGACAAAAAATTATATCTCTATATTTTCTGGGATTTTATCGATAACGATAATTAGACGATATTTTGCTGAGTGTGTTATTGTGCTGATATCTTAAGGACTGCCGCAGACAGCTGACTCCTAATGTTTTTAATGTTTTTAATATTCTTCATATTCTGTGTGGTGGTCAGTTCATACTGATAAGTACTGAAATCCAATAAGTTTAAACTGATTTTTGCATTTTATGGGCATTTTTACCTTTATAAAGCCATTTTTTCTAAAAGTGTCCATTATCTTTTGAGTCAAATTCTTACATTTAATCAGGGAATTAGAATAAGACATTTGGGCTGTTACCTTTTCTGCCATCTTGTCTTGAATTTGTGATCATTCTAAATTCATTTTAATAGACTGAATCATGCAGTGAAAGAAAACACACTAAATGCGCACACGCACTAGTCTAGACTTCACGTAATGTATGCGTGCGCTCTGTAGGGATGTTTTGAATGGTTTTTGCAAAATACTCGATAATGTCAAATCGCACATCGTTAAAACAACAATTACGATATTATCGCAGACGATATATATCGCACACCCCTACTTCACTATATACATCTTTAAATTCAATCCCTGTCTCCGTCACTGCTGAAAAAAAGCTTAAACCAGCCTTAGCTGGATTGCTGGCCATAGCTGGTTTATGATGGTCTTTCATCTTGACCAGGCTGGTTTTTATCCGGGCTAGCCAGCTGATCTCTTAGCCTGACCAGCTGGTAAGTGCCCAAAAACAGCCAACAGACCAGCTAAGTCTTGAGTGTGGTTTTGTTTTCATGTGTGAACATAAGAGCAAAAACAAAAGGATTGCCTTCTTTAAATCATATATTATGTTCATTTTGTATAAACCAGCATAAGGACATATACGTATTATAAGTGATCCTCAAGAAACATATAAAAAGGTCATGGCATTTTTAAAAAGCTGCACAGTGGAGTGGGGGAAAAGGTTTTATTTTCAGCTTAGAACTATGTAGAGCTTCCATGCCTAAGTACACTTAGCTTTCGTCATTGACGTGAGCAGCTTGTCATCTACAGAGGATAAGAGTAATTGGTAGATTTGAAAGGCTTGATGCTATCAACTGCAATCGACACTGTTAGTTTAAGTGTGACGCACGCTTACCCCGGATGCACTGCTCGGTGTGATGGACCTGCATCTCCAAATGCAATGTAGACTTCACATTTGAAGTGCTGAAATAACCAGCATGTTTTATCTCATGGACAAAAATGCAGTGCATTGTAAATATTTAGGTTATTTTAAAGTCAGTTCACTGGTGGAGCAGGTTATAAGTTGTTGTTGTTGTTGTTGTTGTTTTTTTGCAATAGTTAGATTCGGTCTTTGAGTCTGATTGGTTTTAGCAGACCAGCTGTCAGTCTATGTAGTAGGGCTGCACGATTATGACAAATCATAATTGTCGATTTTTCCCTTGTAATTGTAATTGCGATTATTAATTACGATAACCACAATTTACATTGATTGAATGATGTTTATACCATTGTTTGAAGTAACTGCATGCCATATTTTTATATGAAAAAACACTAACTGAAAAACTTTTATTGCTTATATATTATGGAAAGTAAAAATTTGCATGGTGCTATAATGTTTGTTCCTGTGGCTCAGTGGTAGAGCGTTGCGTTAGCAGCGCAAAAGGTTGTGGGTTTAATTCCCAGGGAACACATACTGGTAAAAAATGTATAGCCTGAATGCACTGTAAGTCGCAAAGCGTCTGCTAAATGCATAAATTATTAAATTAATAAAAATTATAATGTTATAATAAAACTAAAATTAAAACAATGGAAAAACCCTTAAGATAACCTGTAGAAAAAAAAAACGCATCTTAAGCACGCAGAATAACATAAGTGGACTTTGAACGATTAATTGCCGCTTTGAATGATTATGTAGTTGTGGCATCCGTAATTTTAATCGCGATTAGAAATTCGATTAATTGTGCTGCCTTACTATGTAGTAATAGTAGGGATATTTTCACTGACTCTTTCTGCAGGTTATATCATTACGCCAGTAGAATGGGAGAAATGACTGTTTATTAGAGAATCATTGAATCGTTTACTCAACCATTTTGTGCAAAAACACATTCATTTAGGAAAAGAAACACCACCTGTGTTTTACTCTTGAGATGCACAGTGTTTCTGTTTTCAGTGGCGGGACAAAACAAAGTAACTGGCAATATTGTTATAATATAATAATAAATAAATAATATATAAATATAATAAGTTGCAACTTACTCAATATTAACTTTTTTTTTTTAACTGCTGTATAAAAGCAATCAATTTCTTTTAATGAAGCAGTGATATGTGGATACATTTACATTTAGCAGGATGAAATAACTATAATTTGTATAAAACAAAGTCCTCATAAGAAAACTGCTTATGCGCATCATGGATACGGAGTTATACACTTCAATAACTTGAGCACACACACACACACACAAAAACAAATATATATATATTTATATATTATACTAATAATAATAATATTATTATCATCAGAGTAAAAAAATCCCTGAAACAAGGAAAATGTATGGTAGAAGCAACACTTAAGTCAAGACATGTATAAGATATTTTTTCAGAGAATTTATGTCTAATGCAAGTGTTTTTGTCTCGCTAAACTGTTAGATTTCTCATTTGTTTTAAGAGCAAGATAAAAAGTGAAAAAAGAAAACACTAAACACACAGTGCATTAAGACAAAATACACTGAAGTTTATGAAAAATTCTCAGGTAAATTTGACCACGTTGATTCAAGTTGGATATTTGTATGTTGTAGAACTCAACAACTTCAAATTAACTGTCAGTTTTTTATAAATTATGCACTTCGTTCATTGCAGTCGTTCAGTTTGCTGTTAAATTCCCAGTTACCTCTGTTTATCCTTCATAACATTAATAGGTTGTCAGTAGGGTTGAAAAGGGGTGGAAAACTTCCGATACATTTCCGGAAACTTTCCAAAAATCCCTGGAAAGTTCCAAAAAGAATATTTCCGAAATTTACTGGAAATTTTCCACCTTTTTGCAACCCTAGTTGTCAGACAATCTTGGAAGATCCCTAATCTTGTCCAAAAAAAAAGTCAATTTATACTACAACATAAAAAATAAACCTTAACATTTCTGTAAATTCATCTTAATCTTAACTGTTCTAGTCTTTGTCTATAAACGTTGTACTGATGAGCGGTTGTACTTCACCAAACGGTTCAATCCAGGCCTTCACATACTTGCGAAGCGAGAACATGCCATAAAAGGATGTGACGGTGAGAAGAATCCTCCTGCAGACATCTGCTGTTGTAAAAACCTTCAAACCAGTTAGAGCGACACAAACTAGCTGTTAGAAATGAAGCACACTCCTGTCTGCAGGGCCCAAAACCATTTTTGTGCATCCAGCTTTTGAATGTTATAAACCATGATGAGCATCCTCAGATTGGCTTTAGTAGTCGTCTTTGTCTTATTCAGCATAAACGATAAACTTTTGAGTCTTTCTATCAGCGTTTGCTTTGTCTAGTTTTTTTATAGCCCTGTACTTTTGTCACATCTAATCCATGTCTTGCACCGTCTAACTGATGTGATTGTTTGACAGAAGTCTTTCTTTTCTCTCTCTCTCTCTCTGTCTTTCTCTCTGATTCTTCATCATCCCATCCATGTGGGTGAATGTTCCTGAAAATCCTGTAGAGACTTTTGGTACGATCACAATTACATTAAGTTACCTCAGTGACGAAAAAACATTTGCTTAAAGGGGTCATATGATGCGATTTCAAGTTTTCCTCTGTACTTTTGTCACATCTAATCCATGTCTTGCACCGTCTAACTGATGTGATTGTTTGACAGAAGTCTTTCTTTTCTCTCTCTCTCTCTGTCTTTCTCTCTGATTCTTCATCATCCCATCCATGTGGGTGAATGTTCCTGAAAATCCTTGGTGATCTGTAGAGACGTTTGGTATGATCACAATTACATTACGTTACCGCAGTGACGAAAAAACATCCTGCAAGAAAAGCCACGGTGTATTTAATCATGAGCTTTTTTCCTCGTTTTTCCGTCACTGCGGTCAACTGAAGTCTGCTGTGATGTTTGTTTTATGTGGGATTGTCTTAACTTATACTTTGGATGTTCTGCTCCTGTGTTCATAAATAAAATACATGCATGCTTCACAAAAACTCTTTTTCACCTCTGATGTCCTTGACAACCCTTGCCTGATTTTGATGTCTAGAAAGTACTAGAACTAGAAAAATATTCCCTCATTTACTTGTCAACTTGAATATGAAGTATCTTTTGATGTTGATTAGTTGGTTGAGTTATTTTTCAGCTATAATTTCGTAATTCAGAGTTTTGTATTTCTTCCTGGCAGTGAAAGAGTTTCTAGCCAAAGCCAAAGAAGATTTCTTGAGAAAATGGGAATCACCACCACAGGTGTGTTTATTTATTTATTTTTATTATTTTATTTTTTTTATTCTTCCTCATTATGAGTGATGAAGCACAGCACCATTCATTTTCACTAACTGGTGACTTCTGGGTCACTTCTGTTATCATAAGGTCCTGTCAGATACTGTATTGAGTGTTGCCAAAACAGTGAATTTAAAGGAATAGTTCACCCCATAACAAAAACTTACTCGCCCTCATTACATCCAAAATGAGTTTCTTCATCAGATTTGGAGAAATGTAGCATTGCATCAGTGTCTCAGCAATGGATGCTCTGCAGTGAATGGGTGCCGTCAGAATGAGAGTCCAAACAGCTGATAAAAACATCACAATAATCCACAAGTAATCCATCCGAATCACCACCACAGGTGTGTTTATTTATTTATTTTTATTATTTTATTTTTTTTATTCTTCCTCATTATGAGTGATGAAGCACAGCACCATTCATTTTCACTAACTGGTGACTTCTGGGTCACTTCTGTTATCATAAGGTCCTGTCAGATACTGTATTGAGTGTTGCCAAAACAGTGAATTTAAAGGAATAGTTCACCCCATAACAAAAACTTACTCGCCCTCATTACATCCAAAATGAGTTTCTTCATCAGATTTGGAGAAATGTAGCATTGCATCAGTGTCTCAGCAATGGATGCTCTGCAGTGAATGGGTGCCGTCAGAATGAATGAGAGTACAGCTGATAAAAACATCACAGTAATCCACACCACTCCAGTCCATCAGTTAAAGGGATAGTTCACCCAAAAATGAAAATCCTGTCATTAATTATTCACCCTCACGTCGTTACAAACCTGTAAGACCTTCGTTCGTCTTCGGAACACAAATTAAGATATTTTTGATGCATTCCGAGAGCTCTCTGACAGCAAGGATTTGTTTTGTACAAACATGCAGCTTTTTACTTCACTAGACATTCATTGATGGACTGGACTCGTTGATGAGCAAGTGACATAATGCTACATTTCTCTAAATCTGTTCCAATTAAGAAACTTTTTTTTTTTTTTTTTCTCTTTAATTCCAAAATAAGTTTTTAGTCTTTGTTTTGTGGTGTTCATGAACAAATTTCCTTCCATCCAGTTTTTACAATAAGCTTTGTGCTTTGTTACTTTTTATTTGAAACAAAGTCTCGGCTTTCAAATTCTGTAAATTTCATCACAAAAGTCAAACAGTATATTTTTTTTAATATCGTCATTTCATTCAACAACAAATTGGAATAGAAGTATAATTATATCATTTGATAAGAAAACTGTGTTATGTTCAACTTTAATTTGTATGCTTTTTTTGGAGTGTTGATCATTTATATCTAAAAATAATTCAATCTGGACTCTATTGTATATTTTACCCTTTATTATTATAGTAATGTACCAACTGACAGGGTTTCTGTATAGTTTACAGCATTAGAGAGAAATTGTTTTTCTTAAGAAAAATTGACATGTACAGTACCTGATATACATCCAAATGAATACAACAAGTGTTGTCAAACGATTAATTGCATCCAAAATAAGTTTTTGCTACATAATGTATGTGCATGCACTGTGTATATTTAT